ATAAGAACTCAGTCAAAAAAGAGAAACCAACTTCTTCCCTGGTCCAACACCTTAAAATCACAGGACATGAAATTGACTTTAAAAAGACCAGAACTATTGCCAAAACTGAACACTTTAATAACAGAATAAACAGAGAAGCCATCGAGATAGAAAAATGCCCACACAGCATGAACAAACGAGATGATACCTCCTGCCTACCAGCCATTTGGAAACCCGCCCTTATTGACAAACGACTCCCTAACACAAAGAATGACACCAGACCCACACTCACAAAAGCCACACAGGATGTCACCACCACACGTCCACACAAAAAGCAAACCCAAACCCACACCGATGATGAGGCACGACCAGAAGCCAGACCACAGCTGCATCATTAGCCACTTTAAACCAATCCATACATGAAGCAAACTGACACCCACCATGAAGATGAGGCACGACCACGAACGCGGAGCCAAACAATAGCAATGCAGCTCACCATCTCACATCCCCATGCAACTCAGACTAACCTGAGCACAACAAAGCCCACACCCAAAGAGAACAGTCCCCCATCCAATCAGAGCACAGCCAACCCCCATCCAATCAGAGCACAGCCAATCCCCCCCCCATCCAATCAGAACACAGCCAAGCTCTCATCCAATCAGTTCATATCCCCACTGGCAGTTAAAAGGAAGAAACAGCTACGATCACACATTGCTCCTAGAAGCACGAAGCTGAAAACACCAGCCTGAAGATGACGAATGGGACTTCATCGAAACATCGCCAAGACACTTCCAATTTTACGCGGGAGAAAACCCGAACAACCAAAGACCTACATACAAACACCCGCAAAAACCTCAGAAAACATATATATATATATATAAAATCTCGTTAAAAACACGAATCCTGGGTACAGTCATATTATAAAAACAAAGAAACATGAACACCAGGAAAAATTTAAAACTAAAAACATTTAATCTAATGCCAAGCTTTCGTTGGCCAACTGCTGACATCATCAAGGCTTTAAACCGGTCGATGGGAGTCTCCTTTATAGTGCTAGTCAGTTTATGCACACGGCTCCTGGACCTCGTCATTGGTCCTACTTGATTGGACTGCGTGTTGGTTATATTCTTGATGTTGATCGATGCTGCCGCTCCATTTTTAGTTTTAAATTTTTCCTGGTGTTCGTGTTTGTTTGTATGTATGTATGTATGTATGTATGTATATATATATATATATATATATATCCTGAATCATGAAGATGACGAATAAAACGACACTTGGGAGAAAAGAACAACCAAAGACGAGACAAAATTGGAAGTGTCTTGGCGACGTTTCGACGAAGTCCCATTCGTCATCTTCAGGCTGGTGCTTTCAGCTTCGTGCCTCGAGCAGCAGTGTGTGGTCTTGGCTGTTTCTTCCTTTTAACTGCCAGTGGAGGTATGAACTGATTGGGTGGGAGCTTGGCTGTGTTCTGATTGGGTGGAGGTGTGTTCTGATTGGTTAGGGGCTTGGCTGTGCTCTGAACTAAAGGTTAGTCTGAGTTGCAGAGGGATTCAGATTTTGGGCTGCCCTGCCATTCAACTGACACCCTCCATGAAGAGGAAGCACGACCACGAACGCGAAGCCAAGGAATGGCAGGGCAGCCCAAAATCTTGAATCCCTCTGCAACTCAGACTAACCTGAGCACAACTCAGCCAATCAGAGCACAGCCAACAGCCAATCAGAGCACAGCCAGCCAATCAGAGCACAGCCAAGCCCCTAACCAATCAGAACACACCTCCACCCAATCAGAACACAGCCAAGCTCCCACCCAATCAGTTCATACCTCCACTGGCAGTTAAAAGGAAGAAACAGCTAAGACCACACATTGCTGCTCGAGGCACGAAGCTGAAAGCACCAGCCTGAAGATGACGAATGGGACTTCGTCGAAACGTCGCCAAGACACTTCCAATTTTACGTGGGAGAAAACCCGAACAACCAAAGACCTACATATATATATATATATATATATATATATATATATATATATATACACACAATGATATTAAAAATAAAAGAATGATTCCTGGGTATATCCATATCAGACAACAAACAAACGTGATCACCAAGAAAAATTATAAAACTGTAAAAGTTTTTTTTAAATAAAAACACCAAGCTTTCGTTGGCCACTGCCAACATCGTTAGGGTTCATACAAGTCAATAGGAGAACCTATTTATAGATGAAACAGCATCTGCACCCAGCTCCCAGACCTCGTCATGGGTCCTAACCGACCAATCAACACTTCAGTTGTAATCTCCCTGATATTAACTGATTTACCCTTGCTTCCCTTACCTATGCGTATATTGCTACTTACTCCCCCTTCCTCCTCCTGTATCTGTAAACCAGGAAAACTCTCCATCTTATTCTGATCAAATACACATTCCACATCCCTGGGTTGTTTCCTCCTCTCACCTCCTTTCCTGGGGTGCTCCATCTCAGTGAACTTTTTCCCACCTCCACCTCTTTCGTGTCCACCATCATCGTTGTCATTCTCCCTATCATGGGACTCCATACTAAGTGTCTTGCCTTCACCCCCACTACCCAGCGCCACCCCTCCTCTGTATGTCTGATGATCTCACCACCATCATCAGGTTGTCGGTCATTCCTTTCCCGGATATCGGTAAATTGTTGGGATCAGGGGCTCCTCCCCCCTCAGTTTCCCTCTCCGGCAAATAAAGGATGTTGTTAAATTGCTTATTTCGTAATGGTCGAACATGCGCCTCCCATGCTCTCAGCGCCAAATGTGCCGGGCACAGGTCCACATGCCAATTAATGGAGTCTCCACCTGAGAGCCAAGCCTCTTTGAGTAATCTGTCCCCTTTTGTAGTGGGGGTGAAGGCAAGACACTTAGTACGGAGTCCCATGATAGGGAGAATGACAATGATGATAACGGACACGAAAGAGGTGGAGGTGGGAAAAAGTCCACTGAGATGGAGCACCCCAGGAAAGGAGGTGAGAGGAGGAAACAACCCAGGGATATGGAATGTGTGTTTGATCAGAGTAAGATGGAGAGTTTTCCTGGTTTACGGATACAGGAGGAGGAAGGGGAAGTAAGTAGTAATATACACATAGGTAAGGGAAGCAAGAGTAAATCAGTTAATATCACGGAGATTATGACTGAAGCGTTGATTGGTCGGTTAGGACCCGTGACGAGGTCTAGGAGTTGGGCACAGATGCTGTTTCATCTATAAATAGGTTCTCCCATCGACTTTAAACCACTTTAGCCACTTTAAACTCCTCCAATCCATACATGAAGCAAACTGACACCCTCCATGAAGATGAGGCACGACCACGAACGTGAAGCCAAAAAATAGCAAGGCAGCCCAAAATTCTTAAACCCCCCTGCAACTCAGACTAACCTGAGCACAACCAAACACAACACTCCCCCAGCCAATTAGAGCACAGCCAACCCCTCAGCCAATCAGAGCACAGCCAACCCCCCAGCCAATCAGAGCACAGCCAAGCCCCTAATCAATCAGAACACACCTCCACCCAATCAGAACACAGCCAAGCTCCCACCCAATCAGTTCATACCCCCACTGGCAGTTAAAAGGAAAAAACAGCTAAGACCACACATTGCTGCTCGAAGCACGAAGCTGAAAACACCAGCCTGAAGATGACGAATGGGACTTCGTCGAAACGTCACCAAGACACTTCCAATTTTACGCGGGAGAAAACCCGAACAACCAAAGACCTACATACAAACACCCGCGAAAACCTCAGAATATATATATAATAATCATAAGCGATAAGTATCTGAAAAAACATCACAGAAATATAATCAACATAGAAACATCAAATGTGTAAGTTTTTGCCGATCAGCAATTTTAACTGAACAGCATAAAGAAAAGGGCCATTCTGATCTCAGGAAGTAAGCTGTTCCAAAGCAAGAAAATGATGTCCAAAAACATATTTCATCAGGTCCTGCCCCTAACATTCAGGGTTGGGAGCCCATAGCATTTCCCTCTCAATTTACATATATTTGACAGGGACATTCTACCCTAGTCTTCCCTAGTCTGAACTGGCCAAAGACAGTCTAGCAGGAGCCCAGGAAAAGCCTAAATTATGTATCAAATCCTTCAAGAGAGTAATATCCTTAAGCATCCTTAGGCTTAGAGTTTTGGCTCTGTCTTCAATTGGCTCACTAAATTGCAGAACGTTTAACCATCTCCTCTTGTAAGCCAGTGTGAGCCAGTGAGGTCCAGCACACCACTGACAACATTCCATCCAAAGCTAAAGTTGGAACTTCCTTGATCCAGATCCCGTTATGGGATTTAGTCTGAGTCTGTTCAATACCATATAGTCCCTTACAGTTTGCAAGTCCATTTCATCTTCTGCTCAGCCTTGGGTAGAGATATATAGGTAGAGGTCATTAGGATACTAATGATAACACCAAACAGATTGAAAAAGATTAGGAGAGAAGCCTTCATCCTATATTATAATGCCCATATCTCCAATTTCTCTTCCCCCATTGTCACAAAACAGGGTCTCTGTCTGTCTGTCTGTCTGTCTGTCTCTCTCTCTCTCTCTCTCTCTGTCTCTCTCTCTCTCTCTCTCTCTCACACACACACACACACATACACACACACACACACACACACACACACACACCTGAAGTCTCCTTTAATATCTCAAGGACAGCTTCTTACTCCCCAATGCATCTCATTTTAATACACTGATACATCTTCCATTTATTTATGTTTAGCCTGATTTGCCATCTTTTTTATCTAGATCAATTTGAACATATTCTAAGATTTTCAGCAGTCCTAGTCACTGAGATTTTTATAGAAACTATAAAAACTACTAAGCAATAACTATTTTATTTTGCTTCACTACTAAGATACAGTTTAGCTTTAGCCAGATAGAGTGTATCAGTAGTGGAATCCAAATCTAGAAACTGTTAAGTTTATCTGATGACATTTGTATACAAATAGTGTATAAGATAACATTTATTAATTGTATATGTAATTTATTTTCAAAGCTGGATGAGGTGAGAATGGGAGAATATAGCATCTCAGACAATGAAAAGTTCAGTAGCAGTAAAGAATACATGTCCATGAAAGATTTGTAAGTATACTAGCTATTAGATATTTCTCTCCTGAAACAAATATTTATGCATTTCTTTTACAATTTTTTTCATGTGAGTAGCAAAGTCAACAATAAGTACAATACTTTAAAAGTTTTCCTAATTATGCATTTGTAGGTAAGACCACCAGAGTTGGCTTCAAAATCAGAATGGCAATAAGAAGGCATAAATTCCAATCCTTTATTTTGCATCCCGTATCTAGTAGTTCTATTGGAAGTGCTTGGCACCTGTTGTCCTCTATATGGACAATACAGTCTTTTTGGGTCTAGAACAACTGACAGGCCTGTTGTGGGTGGCCAGTTAGGGACAGCCCCTTCGCCACTGCCAAATCGCCTCTGCCAATTCACTGCTGCCAGTTCGTTGCAGGACAACTCAACATGGGCCTTTCACTGTGGGGAAAACTCATTGTGGGCACCCCAATGGAGAACTGGGTGGGCAAGTGAGTGAGTGAGCAAGTGGGCAGAGTAAACAGTGGTGGCAGCAGCATGAGATAGGAGAATGGGAAGCCCTCAGCTGCCACCACCATTATGTGCTCTGCACACCCACTTATCTGCCCGCCCACTCAGCTCTCCTCACTCGCTTGCTCACCTGACTACTCACCTGACTGCATCTGTGCACCCCAGCAAGCTGTCCCAGGTGCCCACAGCGAGTTGTGCCCGCAGTGAATTGCCCATGTTGACTTGTCCTGCAATGATTTGGCAGAATGAGTTAGCAGAGGCAACATAGTGGTGATAAGGGGGCCGCCCAGAGCTGGTTGTCCCCAGTTGACCATGTGGAGATGTCCCATTCTGGTCTTTTCTCCCTTAAAAAAAATGGCATAAAGCACTTCCTTCTGGGTTCTCTTCTTGTACCGAAATAAATCCCCCTTCCTACTCAGAAATTATTTGTGAATGATTTGCTCTCAGCACTCACCTATTGGTTAACTGATCATTGTGAATAATCAGGAGGGGAGAAAGAATGAGAATTCTGAAAGCATGAGGGCTGGAAAGATAGGTCAAAGATTTAGAGGAGGAAGAAGTTTAGGACTGTAGGAGAAAACTTCAGAGATCATCTTAGGCTCCTGTGTTAGAGGTTCCTCTTGTCTGTTCTTTCTATTTTAAGTTAATCTTTATTGCATCAGAAAATATACATTTGATCTAGCTGATATCCAACTTTATTTCCAAAGGACTATCAGCATGTAAACATTTGATTAACCGTATCACCTGAGTTCAAATTGGAGTAAGATTGGAAATCAGTACCAAAAGTAAAATCTAACTTCAGATATTAATACTAGCACAGTCAGAATGATGGCAATTATTACCAATAATTCTAACTGTATATTTACCACATATTTAACTCATCATAAGTTTCTAAAGAGGTATACTACCATTCTCTTTCTGCACTAGTTACACACTTTGTTTTCTTTTGCTATACTTCTACATGAGCCAATTGTAAATAATGCAGTGGCCAAATTCAAAGTCACACCAAATCAGAGTTTAACATGACCAAAACAGCTTAAGGCCAACACATTTCTAATTTTCAATTCTGATGTTACCAGTGTATTTCAGATCAGCTTGTTTTAAACAATCTCTATTTAATACTGACTACATTGTGTTGGTGAGAATGACATAGCAAGATGTGCCTCTCCAAAAACTACTAATAAAAAATAGTTTTTCAAATAAGAAGAGAAGTATGTGACCTTGATGTTTGCTGTAGTTCATTCTTACCTCATTGAATTATGGCCTAACATAGCATTTAAAATTTATTAATAACAATATTTGAAGTAATTTGGAACAAGACAATCCATTGTTTTGTCTTGCTGGTTTTGCTATAAGCAGTTAATAAACTTTTTGGAAATTACACATTGAATAGTTTCTCCAAATTTTCTATAGATTAAACAAGGGTTCTCCATCCTGAAGCAAGTACATTTCCAAGAGTTCCCAGCCAACATGGCAAAATTATAGAAGATCTAATTCATTATCAATATCTACTCCATTTTTTCAATTTGAGCTGATTTCAGTCTTCCAGTCTTAGCCAGCAGCATACAGTATACAGCAGGGGTGTCAAACTCGCAACATCACGTGACGTGTCATAATGTATTGCGACTTTTTTGCCATTGCTGGCAATGGGGTGGGCGCAGTTTCGTTATGATGCATCCAGCCCATGGACTGGCAGTTTAACACCCCTGGTATACAGGAATCACTTTAGTGAGCTTTTAGCGGACAAACTGAGAACAAGTTTGCTGGGTGGCCTGGGGCCAGTTTCATTCTCTCAGCCTTAGGAAGCAGGCAATGGCAAACCACTTCCAAAAATGTTGCCAAGAAAACTGCAGGGACCTGTCTAAGCAATTGCCAGGAGTCAACACTGACTTAAAGGCATAAACGACTGTTCAAAACATGCAATCACCCATAATTATTTGAGCTAGAACAAGAAGCAAATAAAAAGCTGGATCACTAAATATGTGAAATTCAAAAAGAATTATCCATTTTGGAAAAAATTATAAGGCCCAAGAGAAAGCAGAACAATGCAACCTAAGTAAGTTTATTTCCAAACACCTCAGCATCTTCAAAATGCGAAGTGTACTCACTTAATGTAGTTTCAACCTACGTCAAAAGACTGATTTTAGAAATCTATGACTCATAGCCATGAGGTCAGTGAATAAACTATCACATTTTCTAGTTAAATTTTTACCTGAATTATCCTAAATTTGTTCTTAATTTTACACAATCTGCTTTCATTCAAGTGTTGCCCTTGATTTGATTGTGCAGAGGTAAGATTTTGGGGGATCTGATTGATGAACGTCTTTTAAGGTTAATATAATCTGCCCCTCAGAATTTCAGAAATGGTAGAAGATAAAATAAAACCAAAAGATGTCAATAATCAATTAGTGACCTTTCCCCAAAATCAGATGGATGTACAAATGGCAGAACCAAAGCCATTGGAAACAACACCCAAAGTCTTCTTTTTATCTGTGGTTCAATTGTCCATAATTCTCAGGTAAGAATGTCTTTTGAATACAGTCATTTCCTTCATTATTGTAAAATGTTGAGATCTAAAAGAAAAAGTTTTATTTAAATTGGAGTTAAATACAACCTTGTCAAATTGTTCCAATTCTAAATAAAGATTGCACTGGTAGTTAATAAACAAAAATTTTAAGTTGTACAACAGGCAAGGCATGTTGTTCCATTAGTGAACCAGGAAGTAATGTTTAACTTTATCTCTCCGTCATCTTATTCATTGAATTCACCAAAGCATAAATTTGTTCCTTTATTTGCATATTAAGCATAGATACAGGAAAAATAAAATGGTCTAATTTTTCCCTCTAAAATAGTTTGATTTTGAAACTTCTGCTACCATTACTGGATGCCTTTTCTTTTGTTGTGACGTGCAATTGTTTATCTGTATTTGGTTTGACAGCATCCTGTATTCCTGCCCTAGCCAAGACGAGAAATAGATATTAATACTGTTTAAAATTTGGAAAGATAGGATTTTAAATAAAAATATAATTATATGGAAGAGGAGGCAGAAATTCAACTATATGCAAAATTAAAGAATTATTCAAATCTCTTTGCTGCATATTTGAACCATATCTGGCTGGGTGTTTCCTAGCCCAGTCTAGAAAACTGTATAGCTTGCTATTTTGCTTACAGTGTATGTTTTCTATCTTAAGAATTAGCATGAATAGCAATAGCTTGCAATGGTGTATATTCTGATCCAACAGTCCTACATTCTGGATTTCATTCTCTCTTTCAGTAAAATCACAGATGATAACCAATTGGAGCAGGTGGATATCCTCCTTCTCCAGAATAATCTTGAATCCTACTTAACACTTGTAGAAGCTTCTGGATGCATATGGTAAAGTCTTTTATTTATATTTTATTGATTATTTACTGCATTTATTATTTGAATTTCTAAAAAACAATCAGCTGAATTGTTTTGGGAGGTGGGGAATGTGTTAACTACTTGCCTTCTTAAAAGAATCAGCCAACTAAATGATCAAATTCAAATTACAGTTTTTCAACAAAGATTGATAAGACTCTTGCTGGCTTAACTAAATATATTGCTTTATCATAATTAATATGCTGTCAGGCAAAAATAAATGCATCGGTTATTTTTAGTACTGCCATCTTCTCATCACTGAATATTCCTTCAGAAGAGACAGCTTCAACTAATTAATGTGCAGTTGGTTAACTATTAAAAGTAGCAAAGTCACTTTCAAAGTGAGTCCACACTGCTGTTTTTTGTCAGTATTATGGAAACAGTTTATGACTGCAATCTTCCAAGTATTTTTCCCTCAACGTCTCAGTCATACATCACTGATATTCCTTTGAGATCTCTTTTCCTGGACCAAAACCCCCATAATTTAACTTTCAAATCCAGAAAAGGCCAATCAGGTGCTTACCACCTGCTGAGATTGTTAACTCCATTAACTAAAATCAATTAGTTGGATTAGATCGTTCCAACACTATCAAAAATCTGCCAGGTTTTTCCATAGACTTATAAAAATTCTTTTTAAAGTCATGAAGTAGCTCTTTTAATTTTAATTCTTTCTTAATTAATTCTTAACTCTTTTAATTTGAACAGCTATTTATAAGTTAATTTTATGTCTTCAGCTACCATTTGATGAATCTTAGAAATCTATAATAGATTTCACAGATCTTTCTAGCAATCAAAAATTAACTTGTAAAAACGTGGTGAGAACAGTTGTTCAAATGCAAAACCGCTTCGCTTTAAATTTTGAAAACAATACAATAGTAAACAGTGGTTTGTATTTATATTTCCTAGAGTCAGAATAGATACTAATAAAAGGAAATTGAAGTGTTTGCCTCAGAGAGAACATACATATGAAGAGACCAAATTAGTGAACAGAGCTGTACAGTCAAGGTTTGCTTGAACTGCACAGTTGCTGTTGAGCATCTTATCATCAATATCAAAGCAAATTCAGTTGGCAGAAAATAATGCCAGAGGCCTGATATAGAGTTAGTCATTATTCCCACAATAGAGACCTAGGGTGAAATTTTAAAAAGCAAACAGAAAACCTAGAAAGTTTTTTAAATTCTACTGCCTTGGTAAACCACAAGGTGTCACACTTTGTCTACCACTATCTTTGTCCAAATAATGAAGACATTAAATAAAGCAACAAAGAAGTTTCTTCTTAACAACATTGCATTGCTTGCTTAACCTTGCATTGCAAGTAGAAGACTGTAGGGAAAAAAATACATCAATAAAAGTATCAAGATCCTATAGCTTTAGATTCTTATAGTAGACTGCCATGCTACTCCTGATTAATAACTAATCATTTATAGGTCATTCATAGGCCTGGTGGGATTATAAGCCAATAAAGTGGAAGAATTCCATGTTCCTTGCTTAGGGTAGGGCTCCAAATTAAAGCATTCCAGAATCTGCTTTGTTGCCCTTCCCAGACGTTGTCACCCCCCTGCTTCTTCCTGGCCCTAGACTGGGTGTCGTCATCTTGACCCTAGCCTGCTCTCTTCTTTCCCCATCCTTGGGCGGCGGCTGTCTTCTGCTGAAGGGTCTTCCATCATCTTTGTTCTATGCCGTTTCCCCTTTTTTTATATGTTACTTATATGAAAGGGTGTAGGTCTATACATGTTGTATTCAATATGTTTTAAATGTGTTATGTATGTGTACACTTTGAGAGGAAGCAACTAAATTTCATTTTTCATGTGTGCCATTTTGCCCACAGGAAAAAATAACAATAAAGGTTATCTATCTGTCTGTCTGTCTATCTATCTATCTATCTATCTATCTATCTATCTATCTATCTATCTATCTATTTGTTAAATTTATTTGCTGCCTCGCTTGCCACAGGGATCCTCTAATCAGCTTACAAAAGGAAGAAAATGAAAGAAGTGTAAACAGAACAGAAATAAAATAACAGAAAAATAAAACAAACAATGGAAAAGAACACAAGGAGAATACATCAATATGATAACCAGAAGATGGACAGGTGGAGATCAGAGCAGGGGGGGGGGAAGGTGGAGTCTGCCATCAGTCCAGCAGCCGCTTCCAGATTTCAGTTAATAACAAGATGAAATAGGAAATTTGATTAGGATAGCCAGCTTCAAGTGCAGGGGTGTCAAACTGCCGGTCTGCGGGCCGGACACATCATCTGGAAGCTGCACCCACCCCATTGCCAGCAATGGCAAAACCATCCTGATACGTTGTGCGATGTCACGTGACGTCGCGAGTTTGACATGTCTGTTCTAGTGTCACATGTTTTACCTATTTTCTTTTCTTCTCAAACCAAATGGTAAATTATATGTTTAGTATTGAAGGCTTGGACATTGAAGAATATCCCTTTCCCCACCTACTTTGTGGTGTTGACAAGGAAAAAGGCCTATCAGTATCAATGACTGGCCTATCATATCAGGGATTGGCAAAAGGAGGAAGGATCCCAAAAATAAAGTGGAAAGGAGATTAACAATATCCAAAGCTCTCCATTAGGATTGTGGCAGTTAACATAACATGAATTAAGCACAGAAAAAGGAAGTTGTTATAAAGAAATTGAAAGTGACCCTGCATTGATTTTCTTGCGTATAAAAAGTGGGAAAGGAAAAACATTGTCAAATGTTCAATCACTATTTCTCAGCCTCAGGAACTTTAAGATGCATGGACTTCAATTCCCAGAATTCCTCCAGCCAGCATATACACTGGTTTATATCAATATAGCAGAATGTCAGTATTTCTTGAGAAGCATGTTTCCTAACTTGGTCTACCTCAAAGAGCTAATATGAAGTTTAATATCTGATACTCTTTCAGTAATTCAGAAATGTATGTGTGATGTTTTTAATTAATTGATGTAGAACATAAATCAACTTCTGGATCCATAATCATTTTAAATCTTCACAAAACAAATCTTCCATTTGTTCTTGGGCTGACAAACTTTTTTTATTAACACACGCACATAAATATACACACACATTCACACACACACACACACACACACACACACACACACACACAATAACAAATGCTGCTCCCAGTTCATTCATTGAGCAACTAGTTCTCTTTTCTGCTGCAAGATATTAAGGTCACAAGAGATTTTATATGTCTGTATAATAACTTGGTTTTGAATATTTTAATATAGTAATAGCCTTCCACTGCCCACTTGCAAATAATTTTACTTCTAACGTTCCTAATAAATGAATAGCTCTCAAATTCATTCCATTTTCTAATATTTTTAATGCCAGCCAGCCAGATGTGCTGTGCAATGAAAATCCAGCATGATTAGATCCCACCAACTTCAGCAAAAATTGCCAACAATAAGGGAATGCACCCTTAAAACTGTGGCCTAAGGTGGTTTTCTCTGTTCATTTCCAGATCAGGTTAGATAAGAAGTCTAAAATGTCTGGTGTTTGTCCCTTTTCTAATTTACTGCAGCATTTCTCAGTGGAAAGACCCATGTCGTTTAGGATGCATATTTCATCAAGGAGATCATATAGTGGCTGTGAATGATTTGCATATCAAAGATATGGATGAAATATTTTGGTTCATAAGTAGATCCAGAAGAAAGGAGGTAAGACATAGCAATTGAAGTAAAGCTTAGCACTAAGCAATAGAAGATTTTAATGCAAAATTATCATTAGATATTTTGCCTTATCTATCTGCTTATAAATTGCTAATCCACAATTAGAAATGTCCAGCCAAATGATAAGTAATCATGTATCATCCTTCACTCCCTATTCAGCTCTCCAACTTGGTTTCATTAGCTATATGATCCCTTTTTAAACTTAAGCCTGACCTTAAAAATAAAGTGACAATGAACAAGCATAGTAAAGACTAGAAGGTGGTTTTTTTTGTTTTTTGTTTTGGTCAGACTAGTTTCTTTCAATAACTTAAATCTTTTTAAATACCACCACTATTATCAGCAATGACACATAAACTGATTTTGTGAAATATTCAAAATATTCTAACTCCTGGTAAGGAGGATCAGCAAACTGAAATAGATTGTTGTTTTTTTAAAACTAGAAATACATCTCAAGCTGGCCTATGATTTGTTTCTGTTTGTAGCAAGGAACAAGCTAACATTCTTTTATATCCCCTGTCATCCTGCAAGTTGTAAGACAAATTTATCACTGCTTTAAAATCACTCTGACAGATTATTATGGCAGTGATAATTCCTGGCTTTTCTTCATCTACGTCTCTCTATCTAACATTAGAAATTATTCACTTCAGGACTTTGGACTCCATCAAGATGCTTATGATATCCAGCTTCATAAAACTGTCTGGCAAGAAAATTCATTGCTGCTGCAGGCCTAACTCATCAGAATTGTATACATTTCTCATCTTCAGTGTTTATTATAGAAATTCATGCTGATTTGTAGTTTGGATTTGAACAATTGCTTATTATTTTACTAATACAAAATGTACAAGATAAACTGTAAGATACAATACTATAATCACTGTTCTTAATTCCCCCCCCCCTTAAAAAAGGTAAAACTGACAATAAATCGACTCCCAGATTCAGAGATTTTGCATGTTCCAGGATGCAAGTGTCCACAACGACATAAAAGAACAGAGTAAGTATATCATAAAACTGTATCTTTTTCATGTACTTATCAATCAGCCAGGACACAATCCTATTTAGTTTGTTGTGGTTTCACTAGCTTGTTATCCTATCTGCAGAAGGAAATCAATGAAAAGATGAGCTCAGTGACAATTGTTCAGTTCACCCATCTGCCAGTTTATCCCTACAAGATCATTCTCCTTTTCTGATCATTGTTTTTGATGACAATATTTTAAACGATGTAATAAAAAAAATAATGCAACCATATTAAATCATTACATAATTTTCCAACTTCGCATAACAAGAAGTTAACTGTGTGAAGATTTGCAGGGAATTGAAAAAATAAAAACAGAAACAACTTTGGGAAGATATGGTTAACTTCCCAAACCATTATTTATTTGATTATAAACATGTAGGAAGGATTCATCTTTTTCCCCCTTTATTTCTTCTGATTATAGGCACTAAAAGTTACAGGTGTCAACTGTTATATCAATCATTTCACTTTGTGATATAACATCAGGACATAATTTTCTTTAATTTTCTTCTCATTTTTCTCTTACAGAGTTTCTTCCATGTTATTTTCTGTTTGATAAGAGATTTGCTTCTATATATATCAGGACTTTAGATCTCCTTGCAATCTTTGTGAATGAAATGATGATCCTGGTTGTTACAAATCAATGAAACAAAATGAGTTGAAGAATGAATGGAAAGTGAATAAACTTTGCAACTGAACATTAGGGAAATTGGTATTTTCTAAATGTAGTTATGATTTCTACTTATATTTCAATAATTAACTGAGTTGCTAACAACTAGTGGCAGTCAAAATATATTGATAAACAGTAGGATAGCTTACCAAAGTTTAAACAAAGAACATGCTGTAGCTGCTGAGAGAATCTATGATAGGGACTAAATATAATATGAACTATGGCAGATCTGATACTATAAGAAGGGTGATCCTAGTTAAGGAAGTATTTCTTCTCCAGAATAAACTAGTCACAGCTTTTTATTTAATTATATTAAATTAGGTTCAAACAGAAATCCATTTCCACTGTGTAAAGTTGTCAGATATATTTGGATGTTACTAGAAAAAACATTAAAGTTCCATGTTGGTTCTGATAAAAAATTAATGTTTTGGAACAAAACTTATTTAATAAATAAACATATTTTGAAGAAAATAATTACTTTTAATCATTCTGGAACTTTTAAAAAAATATGAAAGTAATATAATTAACTAGGTGGCAATATGAAGAGCTAACATACTTGCTGGAACGTGGTACCATAGCAGTGTCTGATATTAAGATTGAGTAAGTGTATTGAAGGCTTAATAAAAACAAAATCAATAATTCAATATGATCAAAATTTTAAAATATTAAATACATAAATTTAGACAATATGCAAAAAATATTGAATAGGGAACTTAAATATCCTATACTGCATAGTCTTGGATTCTAAGAAATGTTAAGTGTGATGTATTTAATTCATCTAATTGTTTTTCTGGTATATTGGACACTTCACCAGATGTTCAAAAAACATTGTTATCTTTTTATGCTACAGATAAATGTGAATCAGATTCTTGTAAGAAAATAAAAGTAAAAAGTTCTCCATGTATTATTAATTATATTCCAAAAATATGGAATTATTTTAATTTATAATTTAGCTGAATTGTGCCTTAGACTATTGCCGAAAAGGCAATTATGTATGTCAGGAAGAATTCACATGTATCCAGTTTTGAAACGAAATATGATAGTTCTCGCCCTTTGAACTGGTTTTGTATTAATCATAATATAAGATCAAATAGTATGATTTGATATGGTATAGGATTAATTCATGATTTAAAAACTGAATTGTAACTGTGTACAGATATATTACTAGTTTGATATCAGAGAAACAATGTATCTTGTATAGTGGTTTTCCTTTATTTCTATTATTTACTTTTTTCTAGATCTCTTTTTTTCTGAGTTTCTTTTCCTTTTTAGTATATATTGTTTAATTTTTAAGTACAGTATATAGCTTTTTTATTTCATAGTTTTAAATGAGAATTCAAAGTTTTGTTCTTACATGTCATTATTTATATTGTTTACAAAACTCAATAAAATTTATTTTTAAAAAGAAATATAAATCCATGGCTACCTTTGTCATTCTTCATCTTCCTTTTTACTGTTTTTCCCAAACGTGTAAGCTATGCTTTAGTATGAGAATTGCTTCATTTTAGCTAGAGAAGTTCATGATAAAATAACAGAGAAATTGACACATGTTATTCCAAGTATTAATCTGAGAAATCTTGATTTTTCAACCTGTGGTCTGAACGGGGACCAACATATCAAACACACTGCATTAACAATCTGGGCAAAACTACTAATAGCAGAGCACTATTAGTAATGCATACTAGAACTATGAAATATAGATAGCTAAATTCATTCTTTCACTGACTTGTGAGTGAATGGGGACAGAAATATCTGTATGCCAATCAGTGTCCTCATGAACCGCATGTCCAAAGAATATTTCTGATTAATCCATCGTCTTGCCAAGATTATGTCAAGGTAAATTTTCTTTTAAAATTGTGTGAGATTTCTGCTGTGTTGACTTTGAGAGCAGCAGACTAAGGAGAAGGGAGCATCAATATTGCAGTCACAGCACAGTCTACCACCAAAAATATGAGAACTGACTTGGGAGTAAGGAATGGTCAATGAGAGAAGCATGTTAAAAATAAGGCAGCAATTGGTTCCAGTGATAAATGAAAAATATGGAAGGTTTTGGCTTATCTTTAGCAAGATAGTTTTTGGAAATTCTCCAAGTGTGATCCTGAATAGAATTACATTCCCACACAAAGAAGGGGGTGACCATTGTTACCTCCAATTCAGAATACTGTGATCGAATTCTATGTTTGTCAAAAGTTTGTTAGTGACATCTATAAGGACTATATTTATAATGAATCTTTATCTATTAAAAACATGCTGCTTTAAATCAGGTCAAAGATGAAGCATATATACCATCTTGTTTCCCATTGACACCTTAGGAATAGGAGGGCAATAACATAACAAGCTAAAATTTAGTGGCATGCTGATTCTGATCCTTGAAATATATTGCTATCATTTTTTGAACCTATTAAGTTTTCTCTCTGTGTGAATTTATATTCCTGTACATGGGATTGTTTAAACTTCTTAGATAAAAGTTGTCTGAATTTTGATGCATCCTAAGTGAAACACGGTTTACTGGAAGATCAGATATTATTAACATCTGCTAATTAGGAATGTAAATGTCATTGTTTTGTTCTGTTGCTTGGCAAATATTCCATCCTGACATCTTTCTAACTAATTAAGTCTCATTTTTATTTAACTGTTGCACCAGTCATCTTTTTCAAATCCTTCCTGATTAGAAATATGAGGAGTTGCAGATTTAATTTTAAACACACATTAGATCATGACTTCTTTCTCTCCAAGTCATCTTTCTGCTTTCGTTCTCCTTCAAAATATCTTTTGTGTTCTCTGCTTCATATCTTATACTTTACCAGTGTGAGAAATTTTTTCAATTGTTTCATTAATAACAGAATTAAAAATAGTTTCATTTTGTCATTTCAATGAATGCATGGATGCTACAACTGTCCTCCAAAATTGCTCTTTAGAACCTGCTAATGCTCCCCCTCCCTTTAATCTCAGTGTTATTAGGGGGTTAAATCAAGAAACCAGCAATGGATTAGAAAGCAGTTGAGCTTTCTATGTTTAGAATATAAATCAAGACACTATTCATTCCCATTTTACATGGAGCAAGCAAAAAATATAATTCCATAATTATATATAATACAAAAATCCCTCTCCTTACTTCATTTAAAGTACTTCATTTAAAAAGTTATTTCTCACAGCAAATGATTAAAATAAAACTAGAAAATAAAATTGACTTTTAATATCTAAATTAACTTTTAATATCATTTCTGGAAAGTGATCGTTTAAAATTCACTTTCTATGCTATCTTTTGCTAGCTGGGAAGCCAAACAAATCTTTCTGCTGAGATTTGTGGGATTCTGTATGATATGTGCTGGAAGCAAGTATAGAGGCATATTTCTCTTGTATTTTTTAATATAGGTACTTATTTTAGAGCTGCTCTATCAACACAATTATACTGCCACTCATGTAAAAGGGGCGAAGTTGTTCACAAGAGGGGAAAATATTTGTTCATCTCAAGGTATTCATCAAGGACTTGATAAAAAGATGACAGTGTATAAAAAACAAAAGATCAATGTAAAATAGAAAAGGCTTTTCAGGTACATTTGCTGAATCGTTGATTTTTCAGTATAATTTTCTGAAGCTTTTCAACCATGAATGCATTTTCAGGAACCCTTATAAACTGCCCTCAAAGAATCTTTTTGTTTAAAAAAATGTACTCTTTTTGATGGACAAATATGCTACATTTTCTTCTAATTGGCATTAGTAGGTAGAACAGCAGTTACTAACAGTTGTTAAAGACATTATTTTCTTTATTACTGCCTTTAACACAATTCAGTAGAAGTATGTTTTCACACAGCTACAATTTCAGTTTAAGTGACATCTCAAACATAAATTGCAAGTTGTGACAGTATGGTCTGCGTGATCTAAGAAGTGGGATTCCACAAAGTCAGTCTTCATTTTTTTTTATTAATGATTTGGATAAGTAGATAAGTGCTTATCAAATACAATTAAGCGGTATATAAGTCTCATAAATAAATAAATAAATAAATATTTCCTCTTCAGCATATTCACATATTGCTTTGAATTCTTATCTTCATGCTATAGGAAAATATTGTAAGCTATTTTGATGTAAAATACAAAGTTAATCCATGCTACCTAGCCTGTAATGGTCCGTAAATACAGACTATTGCTGTCAAAATGTAACCAAGATCAAATAATTATGAATAGAAAATCCAAGTTTGTCCAAAGTACTCTAGAAAATTGTATAATTCCTTCTGTGTATAGTTCAGAATTCTTTTATAAATATTTAATTACTTATTATATTTCTAGAGATGGCTATTTGCAAATCTATCAAAGGTTCAATGCAGAAATTAAAAAATAAGATATGACTTTATGTCGTCTTATTATATTATTTTATTGAAAGAATAACTTTTATAGCCACTTTCAGGCAAGAGGATTTACTTCCAAAATACTGAGATTTTTAAGAATGTTTTATAAAGCTTTCTGGAAGGGATAAGAATATTTGCCTCATTAGCAATCTTCCATAATCTGACATATTCTAGATGTGTTGAACATTAATTTTTAGCCGACATGGCCACTAGAATTGTCCAGCCCACGTGAAAGCTACCAGGCTGACACATAGTCTTATCTGATCATTAAATCAAAAGAAGCACTATACTCTCACTTCTTTACAAACTGGCATTTACACATTTGTAATATGTATTTTGAACCATATCCATAATTAATAAAGTGAGCTTAACAAAATTAGATTCAAAGAGATTTCAAATGCTAGTTTTGAGCTTTCAGTGAAGTAGCTAACAGCTAAAACTTTGGACGTGCAGTGTGCTTAGTTACGTTACATAAGAATCATGTCATTCTGCCAATTAAATTCTTGGCACCTTCCAAGTCTAGTTTTAAAAAAAGCCTGGTGAATAAATAAAGACTTTAGCATGTAGTCTCTTGATCCAGTTAAAACAGTTGCCTTTGTGCTAAAATCCAAATTATATGGGAACTAATCAAGGAGAGAAGCAACCTAGAACTAAGGAGAAACTTCCTGACAGTTAGAACAATTAACCAGTGGAGCAACCTGCCTCCAGAAGCGGTGAATGCTCCAACACTGGAAGTTTTCAAGAAGAGACTGGACAGCCATTTGTCCGAAATGGTATAGGGTTATCTGCCTGAGCAGGGGGTTGGACTAGATGACCTCCAAGGTCCCTTCCAACTTTATTATTATTATTATTATTATTGTTATTATTATATGTTCAAAAGGAAAACTTTAATAGTGCATCAAATTGTATTTTTGTATTCTGTTGTCTATGGAGATTCTCAGTCATCCAGGTCATGGCTTTTTCAAGAGGCAACTGGACTTCCTTGTTTTGCTTTGAAGATGTTTCGCTTCTCATTTAAGAAGCTTCTTCAGCTCTGATTGGATGATGATTTCTATTCTGTATTTTTTAGCTATAAAACAAAAAGATACTTCTGGAAAAGAGGGAGGAAACCAGTTATTACCCTGTTGTTGTTTTTTTTAAAAAAACCTGAGACTCACCTTCTTTTGATATAAAGGACAGATGATTAAATATCATATATCTCACAGTATATGTGTTCTATTTATAATACTATATGTTCTGTTTCAATTTTCCAATATTTCAATATTTTGGTAAACATGTATTTTATAGTCCCATTCATGTGAACGTTCAATTATATTTTTGTTCATTTTTCTAATCTACAAATAAGAAACTAACTTAGGGGAACTGTAGCTATAACAACAGAAAATGTAGAATTGTCTTAGTAATAATATAGTTTTCCATAATTTTGACAATTCCTGATGAGTAATCAAACTTATAATTGTAATTACCTACCTGGAGTACTTGAAATAAAAACTAAACTCCCCTAATGCATGAATAATGATCCTCTTACAGCTTTTGTGACTTCCTAATTACAGGGAGGGAGGGAGGGAGGGAGGGAGGGAGGGAGGGAGGGAGGGAGGAAGGAAGGAAGGAAGGAAGGAAGGAAGGAAGGAAGGAAGGAAGGAAGGAAGGAAGGAAAAAATTGAGTGGTCCTATTTTTCTAAGAGTTTTCCAAGATTTATAGATGGTTAGATATTTGATGGACCCATTTAGTCTAACTTGGAACTTAGTGGTAATAGCCTGATTGAAAACAACTAGAGTATGCATTCTTTCTCATACAAGAAGTTAACTGGGTTAGGGTTAGGGAGAATTTTGTGTTTATTATGGATGAATGGTTGTTTAAAAGAAATATACACCTCAGCGTGGAGAAGATGGATAAATTACATGTAGAGTAAATATGGGATAGAGTTGATATGGGATTAAAAAGTATTATTTAGATTATGAATAATTTTTAGTTTTTAATTTGGAATTGCTTATATTGTTATTTTTTTTTAATTTGCTTAAATTGGTTTTGTATTCGAGTTAAAGCACATTATTGATTTTGT